AAACAAAGATTAAATAAGTTATGATTCACAAACCATTGATGCAACGATTCTATGCTAAATACTTGTCGAATACGCTGTGCAGCCAATCAGCAACACTGAGACGGAGATGCAATGAGACGTCGATATCTGCTACAGTGGAGCTGTTACCAATAAATCTGACTCAAATTTCAAATAGACACAGCACACACACAAATGGACACCGAATAGCGTATGATTCCTATGTACCATCTAGGCTTTCATACAAAGTAACACAACACAAACAAAATGCACCATGCGAGCAGACAGTGATTTTAAGAATCATTCGCAGCATGACAGCAAAAATGTGTCCTTCTCACTGTGGATAAGTTGCTCCATGTTTCAAGTTCGGAACTCCCCATACAGTGAATAAAAAGAATAGAACAGTGCATAGCTTGCAACGAACACAAGTAACAAGCAGTCTAAACTACCTTTGGTTTTCAAGACAAGTACAAATCACAGTAGTCTTTTTCCTCATTTACGTAATGCGCAAGACAATAATGGAAAAGTGTCTAAGCCATCTTTCAAATAAGACCAACTTTTAAAGAAGGCGAGTTTTGGGTGTGGGCATTTTAAAGATCAGAGAACGATCCACAACGTCAGACATTATTCCATCATGAAATTTATGTTGTAACGACTGTTACTTTGTCCAGGGGTAGCGGATAGACATGAGCCAATTAATCAAAGAATCGTTACATATCTTAGCAAACGAAGATTAAATGAGGAATAAATGTTGGAGTTCATTAAACCTGACTGACAGCTGGAACGTCATCAGCCAGCCCGTTCTAGAGGATTAATGGATTAATGAAACAATGAATCTTGCCAATCATAAATGATCCCCAAAATATCGTTCACTTTCATTTTTATGAAGATTATGTACAGTATCGAAACATGCATCTAAATCCTTATAACTTGCTGCCTGGATTCATGAATCAATAAAGGAAGAAATCTAACTGTTATTCAAACAGGCAACGAACCGATACCTCGTTTCATTTTTATTTGAAATCTGTATTGCCTACGAAAACTTAAAACTTGTTGACAAACCTCAAAGTTTG